AATGTAGAAGAAATAGTCTTAGAGGCAGGCTTCATCTCCAAAGCTTAATAACGTATCACAACTGAAATGTTCTCTTCGTGAAGCTCCCTGGACCAGCTTATAAAAAGATTAACAAAGAGCAAATCACTTTAGAGAGGTTTTCTTCATCTGGGAGAAAAATAAGTAAAGCTAAAAAGTGAAAATTAAAATAAAAAACAAAAGCTATTTTTGTTCTGGGAGAAGAAAAAAAAGCAAGAGCAAAAATGAATCCATTTGGCACTCAGGAGAAATATTTTAATTTCCTTTCTCTTCCATGGGTCCAGGCACTGCTTCAGAGTCACTCGTTTGTACTAAAATCAGATGGGTGGCATAGAAATGGTACTTCAAGGAGCTGCAGAGGAAAAATACTCTAAAAGATAGAAGCCTCAAAAAACAAACAAACAAAAAAAGCCTGTGAGGCTAAAGGGACATGTGAAGATAAACCAGCTAACTGCAGGATGAGGACGATATGCTTCTGTTCTGATCATATATTTCTGTTGGCTCTCTCTGACTGCCAGTCTCTGAACTTCCTCCAGTGGAACAACAAGAGCGTCCTAAGAAATACCAGTGATGATAAGCACTATCAGAAATATTCTCCTGGAAGGATCCAGAAAGAAACTGATCAACTGGTTTAAAAAAAACAATTCATCCTTGAAACAAGAAATGAAGTAATGATGTCCCTAATGCGATCACATTTATTTGAAAAGGTGAATCCATTTAAGAAACTACAGTGGGACTTCCCTGGTGGTCCAGTGGCTAAGGCTCCAAGCTCCCGATGGAGGGGGCCTCGGTTCGATCCCTGGTCGGGGAACTGGATCCCACGTGCCGCAACTGAGACTCAGTGCAGCCAAATAATTAAATAAGTAAAAATAAGTATTAAGAAAAAAAATAATAAAGAACCTATGGTGCTGAGAATTAAGATGGGGAGCAGGGAGAGGCAGAGGCCATCAGGCAACTAGGCTGATCTTGGTAAGCAGAGCGGAAGCTGGCACACATCAATAACACCCTCCAAATGCACGCATGAATACAACCGCTGCACTCGTTCAGCAAGTGTTAATACGTAACGAGGGCACCCGGGCACCAGATCCCTTGCCATTTCACACAGATCTGCCATCCTGGACTCATATGCAAAGAGAAAGAAAGAATTTTGGGGCTTTTAATCCTAGGAAAACCTCCTTAAGCTTCCAGTAGCTCTTCATTAATTCCATCAACACTCTAACATAAACATTTAAATTCTTTTTAATTAATTAAGGGGGAAAAGCACGATTTCTTTAAGCGTGGGGAAAATCATACTGGAAGATATTTCCAAAAAGAAATGACAACTGGATACAACATGTGCAAACTGGGGCTAAGGAAAGCACGCAGAGAAAAAGCGCAGCAATTGAAAGGCTGGGTCAGAGGGTAACCAGCAGGAGGGAGCCCAAGCCAGGCACCCGAAGGCCGGTTTGGGAAGGTAACACCATCTTAAAACTTCTGTGCCCGGCAAAGAGCTGCTCACCGTTCTGACAACATAAATAAATAAATAAACCACCTCGGCAATAACCAAAGGATTTGAGAGGAAAAGCTTGTCCTCAATTTCTTCTAAACCTGGTACTGATTCTCCCAGGCCACCTCTGACACTGATAGGAGCTGAACATATCAACCCCTGCTCGTAACAAAAAAAAAAAAACAGGAGCAAAGAATCACATTTTTTAAAAAAACATTTCTAGGATATTAAAATTAAGTATCACCAAGCTCTCTCGGTGGCTCAGATGGTAAACAATCTGCCAGCAATGCAGGACATCTGGTTTGTTGGGAAGATCCCCTGGAGAAGGGCATGGCAAGCCACTTTAGTAGTCTTGCCTGGGAAATCCCATGGGAGAGGAGACTGGGGGGGCTACAGGCCATGGGTCCCAAAGAGTCGGACATGACTGAGCGACTAACGCTTCCACTTACATCACATTTCAAAGCATTATTTCAAATCTACAACAAACAGAACAGTGGCAAGAAGTAACAAGACCTCCTGCCATAATGATGTAAACCACATCAGACGGTTAACCGACGACAACACCGTATCTCCCAGTATGAGGCTGTGTCTTCTGTTCTCCGTTGCCATTATCAAAATTAGAACCACTAAACATTCCTCGTAACGAGTCTTAATTTTCCAAGACGGCCAGCAAGGCCAAAAGGGACCCACGTAAGAGACCAAGTAAAGAGATTCAAGTTATTACCTGGTTGAGCTCTTAATTCAGGAGTATTTAAATGAAGTGCTTAATTTGTTCATCCTGTTCTCCCCAGGTACGAGGAAAGGAGGCACAGTCACCTCGACAGCCCAGGCTTAACCAAGAGCAGCCACGCCAATATCCTGCCTATGCATTCCCGAAGTGACAACACCTCCCTGGGGAAGAATTTGTCCCTATCCCCCAAACTAGAAACCAGGTGACAGTCAAGGAAGTTTTCAAATGCTGCCTTACTCAAAACTGGGCAGCTTACCTTCCTTCCGGACTTCTCAGAGCCTTTAACCCAAGCACACAGGTATGTCATTTCCTTACCATTTAGCCGAAATCTTGAAAAAGGAACAGTAGATGAGAAAATGTACTAGGAAAAGTTTGGAGACATGGATTTTTGAAAAATGAGGCTCCATAGGCGCCCAAGAAGCAGCATCGTATAAACAAAGGGAGCGGGCTTACCGGCTGCGTAACCTTGGACAATTGCTTCACCTTGTGCTTCCTGGGCTCAACCTGCAAAATGGTGGAAACAGCGCCAACTTCCTAAACTAGCTGAGGATTAAATGAGATAACAGAAAACCCTCTGAATCAAGCCTGACAGAGTAAACACTCAATAAATGTTAGTGATTTGTTACCTACTTTGCAAGGCTATTCTCAGCAAAGAAATACACATAATATAGAATTTATCCCTGGCAAGTAGTAAGCACTCTATAAAAAGGTCACTGAACACTGTAAAGACCTAATCACAGTGCCCATCACAAACTAAACCTGCAGTGCAATACTGAATGTCACCGTGACTGTGTCATTAAGACGACAGACACAGAAAACAAACTATGGTTACCAAAGGGGAAGGTGTGCTGGGGGATGGATAAGTTAGGACTTGGGGGGTAACATATACCACTGCTATATATAAATAGCCAACAAAGACCTTCTATATAGCACAGGGAACTACATTCAATATCTTGTAACAACCTATAGAATAGGAAAGAACCTGAAAAATATATATATATGTATAACTCAATCACTTTGCTATAACACCTGAAACTAACACAAAAATGGTTTTTATAAAGCTTACAATGTCTTAACTATTAATAGGAAACACTGCTGCTTTGCCTACAATACATTTCCCAATGTGACATCTCTCTAGGGTGATCTGACCATCCCCAAAGCCACAAAAGGAATCGGTGGTCAATTAAAGTTTCATAACCACTATATTCATCAAAATCAGGCAAAGTTAAGTTTCTTTCTGCAGAAATTCTCAGAGCCTTTAGTATGAATGTCTAAGTAGGGAATACATTTCCCAAACGCATTTAATGAGGAAATTTTCTTCCTCCGGGGACTGTTGTTCTGTGGAATGGAAACCACCCTGACTCAACGGAAAAACAATGTCTGGCACATCACCGGTGTGTAACAAACTCTGGTTGTACAAACATAAAGGGGTCCATATTTTGTCATGGTTCCCAAACAAATCTGAGGGTGAAATCTTTCTCTTTTTTTTTAAGCAGCATTTGTGGGACGACTGTGCTAAGAAACACACTTGGAAAAAATGCTTGCCTATGGAAATAAGAGTCTTATTAACCAATAGGAACTAACCCAAAAAGAACCTAGTTCAGCATTCCCACTAACCCAGACTGTTCTAAGGGAGATGTGCTATCTATCTGAAGGCCAAACTATTCTCCTTGACAGGCTATCCTCTATCCACTTCCTGGGAGCTAAGGAAGAGTGGAGGAACAACTGTCACATCTCCCTGAATGTAACTCTCATCAGTTTTCCTTTTTTCTCTAACATCCCCAAGGCAACACCACCAGAGGAAAAGCTGGGGAACTCGAACTCCATGAGTACATTTTGCATTTACTAGAGGCACTTTTCTCCGTTTTTTGCCTCCTCCAGAACTACCTGGGCACCGCGGTGGTGCACCTCTCACAAGTAGCGTATAACCGTTTTCACTCACTTATTTAACACTGTACTCTATTTAAGAGAGCTTTAGTAAACTACTACAATCAATGCCATCATTTCCTTCTTTTAGGGGGATTATTTTTCTCACCCCTCCCTCCTAATAATAACTGTATGTTCCCCTCCCTAGGTTCTCATTCCTCTAACTTGAATTGTTTGCCTCAAGCTCCACTCAAGGCCCAGAATCCAAATCTCCCCACTTTTGGACAACCGTCTTAAAATGAACTGGAAGGATTATACGTTTGATCCAAAAGAAAAAAAAAGGCAGCTATTTCAATGGGGGGTGGGGGGATGGGAAGTTACAGGTCTTTAAGTTTATACATAAATGTTTTGGAAATTAATAAGGTAACAGGCAGCGAGCTTAAGAGCCCACCTCTACGCAAGAATATACGCATCACCGACTCGATGGACATGAGTTTGGGTAAACTCCCGGAGTTGGTGATGGACAGGGAGGCCTGCCGTGCTGCAGTCCATGGGGTCGCAAAGAGTCGGACACGACTGAGCGACTGGACTGAACTGATACGCAAGAATACAGGACCTAACAGAGCTCATCATCTTTTCAGCGACATCTGAGGGTGGTCTCCTAGCTGCTTTCAGCATCTTCCAACAGCTGAAGTTAGCGGAGGGGGCGGTCACCACACAGTCAGGACCCAGCGGCCGCGGTGCCAGAGGGTCTGGGCTCCACGCGACCGTGCTGACCACAGGGTCACCCTCGCCCTGCGCCCTCCTCCCTGCAGCCGCCTCCGGGAGGGGGGTGGGGGCCGGGGAGCCCCTGGAGCCCTCTTGCCGAGACCCGCAGGCCCGGCGGGGTCCGGCCGGTACCTGGTCACAAGGGGACTTCTCCAGTATCTGCGTGCACAGATCGGCGCAGAGCTGGAACCTCCTGCGCCTGAAGTAGCTCCAGGCCAGGAACAGCGGCTCCATGTCCGAGCCCGGCGCGCCCGCGGGCGGGGGCGCGGGGCCGGGGCCGGGGCCGGGGCCGGGGCCGGGGCCAGGGGCCAGGGGCCAGGGCGGGTGCGGGGCACGGGGTTGGCAGCCGGGGGGCGCAGGGCTCGGGCCGGCGTGCGCGGGGGCGGGACCGGGGGGCTGGGGGCACGGGACCGGGGGGCTGGGGGCGCGGGCGGCGGCGTCCGGTCCCGCCCAGCAACGCTCGGCGGCGGGGGCCTCGCCCGAGCGGCGCCCTGCCTCGCGCCGGAGGACGAGGACAGGGAAATGCGCCGCGGGCGGAGCTTGGCTCTGGGTCTCGCCAAGCCTTGGCTTCAGAAACTGTGCACCTTTGAAAAGGCGAGCTACTTCGTTAGTTTCGAGGCCGGTACCGCGCCCAAACGGGCAGGCACTGACTGAGACACCTCTACTGGGGTCCGCCACCCTCCCCGAGGACCCCCGGTTGCCTAGCAACTGAAGGCGCGTCCTCTGCCCGCGCCAGAAAAGTCCCTGGAGCGGATCCTCCAGCTGTAGCGGTACTGTTCTTCCACTTCAGACATTCCTATACCCCTGTCCCTTACCCCTCCGACTTCAGAAACATAGGGGACACCTTTCTTCAGCACCATCCCGCCCACCAGAACTCCAAGCCCTAAATCCGCAAACACTCCAGTCTGTTTGTCTAACTCCTTCTCGCCGAGTCTCTGTGTCCCAATGAAGACGTACATTGAGAATTGCGTAATCTCAGTGTATTCTCAAATTATTCTCAGTGTATTCTCAAATCGTTCATTTTACAGATGAGAAACTGAGATGGGCTCAGAGAAATTATTAACGTGATGTCACATGGAGTTAAGGAGCTGTATTGTTATCTGGATCATCACAAACTGCTAATACCATTTGTTAATTTGACGATGCTTTGGGGTTCTGGATTTATAAATCAGGGATATTTTTGCTAGACAAAATAATTATGCAAAAAAAATTTTTTTAAAGGAGGTTTTAGAAACGCCATCTCCAAGCACTTGTTTGTCAAATGTTTACTTGTGCACAGTGATTTCATTATACACTTCTAACTTTCCTCTAGAGATTTACACAGATGATAAATATGTTTAATGATTAGGAAAAGACGTGGGACCAAGCTAAAGCCAGGTTAACTTCATTATGGAGGGCCAGGGGATGTTTTTTCCTTGCCTTCTTTCTGCCACAGTGGGTGAGGCAAGAGAAGAAATGGTAACTCAATATTGAAGAACTTTCTGATCAGGTCTAAATCTCCTTTAGAGATCAAAAGCAAACTGACAACAGCTTTTAGCAAAGATAAATTATAATTTTCTCAAATCACGAGCGTACCACAATGACATTATAGTGAATCCAGATATATATACCTTTCATGTATATCAAAATGACACCTTTCTAAACTCAGAAATGGGTTGTGAGTAGTTTTTTTCTCCTTTACTAAGAAGTCTTTCTTGAATTTCTATATCTTAGACGGAATTATCAGAACTGTGATTATTCCAGTTATGTTTATTGCAGTTAGTCCATTTTTGTTCCCTGGAAGTGCCTCTAGAAATGTAACCTGTTCCAAAGCAGCAGCCTGTTGCTTCTAGGGTTCAGGTTTTTAGGACTGTGCATGCTGGAATTGGCAGTTGGACTCAGTATTACATGGGGCACTTTTTTTTTTTCTGGTGCAATGTAAGTGGTTTATATATAACTGATTTTCAACCCCTGTTCCATATTAGACAGATTTTCTAAACACTCAGTTCAGTTCAGTCACTCAATCATGTCTGACTCTTTGCGACCCCATGGACTGCAGCACGCCAGGCCTCCCTGTCCATCACCAGCTCCCAGAGTTTACTCAGACTCGCGTCCATTGAGTCGGTGATGCCATCCAGCCATCTCATGCTGTCACCTCCTTCTCTTCCCGCCTTCAGTCTTTCCTTAGGATACATTCAGATTCAGGGAAAAGTTACAAAGATGATACAGAGAGTTTCTGTATCCTCTTCACTCAGTTTCCCCTGCTGTTAACGACGTTACTATGCCTCATATGGGAACTTTCCTGGCAGTCCAGTGGCTAAGACTCCGTACTCCTAATGCAGGGCACCCTGGTTCAATAGCTGGTGGGGAACTAGATCCCTTGGATTGCAAGATCAAACCAGTCAATCCTAAAAGAAATCAGTCCTGAATATTCATTGGAAGGACTGATGCTGAAGCTGAAACTCCAATACTTTGGCCACCTGATGCGAAGAACAGACTGATTGGAAAAGACCCTGATGCTGGGAAAGATTGAAGGCAGGAGGAGAAAGGGATGACAGAGGATGAGATGGTTGGATGGCATCACTGACTCAGTGGACATGAGTTTGAGCAAGCTCCAGGAGTTGGTGATGAACAGGGAAGCCTGGCGTGCTGCAGTCCATGGGGTCACAAAGAGTCAGTCACAAATGAGCGACTAAACTGAATCGATGGCTCATGTGACACAAAGAAGGAACCTACATTGGAATATTACTATTAATTCCACAATTTATTCAGATTTCAGTTGTTGTTCAATTACTCAATCATATCAGACTCTTTGCAACCCCATGGACTGCAGCACACCAGACTTCCTTGTCCTTCACTATCTCCTGGAGTTTGCTCAAACTCATGTCTGTTGAGTCAATGATGCCATCCAACCATCTCATCCTCCTACTCTCATTTTAGGTCCATCCATATTGATGTAAATGGCATTATTTCATGCTTTTTAATGGCTGGGTAATATTCCATTGTATGTATGTACCACATCTCCTTTATCCATTCCTCTGTCTATGGACGTTTAGGTTGCTTCCATGTCTTGGCTATTGTAAACAGTGCTGCACTGAACATTGAGGTGCATGTATCCTTTTGGACCACACAAAAATAAACTCAAACAGGTTAAAGAGACCTAAATGTGAGGCTGAACACTATAAAATTCTCAGAGGAGAACTTTGGCAGAACTCTCTCTGACATAAATCACAGCAGTACCTTTTTCCATCAGGCTCCCAGAGAAGGGGAAATAAAAACAAATGGGACCTAATTAAACTCAAAAGCATTTGCACAGCAAAGAAACCATAAACAAAATGAAAAAACAACCCACAGAATGGGAGAAAATATTTGCAAATAATTTGACTGACAAGTGATTAGTCTCCAAAATTAACAAAGAGCACATGCAACTTAGTATCATCAAAACAAAACAACCCAATCAAAAAGTGGTCAGAGGACCTAAATAGACATTTCTCCAAGAAAAGCATACTGATGGCCAAGAGGCACATGAAAAGATGTTCAACATTGCTAATTATTAGACAACTGCAAGTCAAAACCACAATGAGATATCACCTCACACCAGTCAAAACAGCCATCAAAAACCTACAACAAATGCTGGAAAGGGTCTGGAAGAAGGGACCCCGCTCCTACTCTGTTGGCAGGAATGTAAATTGGCACAGTCCTTATGGAGAACAGTGTGAAAGTGAAAGTCACTCAGTCGTGTCCGACTACTCTTTGCAACCCCATGGACTGTATAGTCCATGGAGTTCTCCAGACCAGAATACTGGAGTGGGTATCCTTTCCCTTCTCCAGGGGATCTTCCCAACCCGGGGATAGAACCCAGGTGGAGGTTCCTTTAAAAACTAAAAATAGAGCTCCCATATGATCCTCCGACCCCATTCCTGGACATAAATCTGGAGAAAAAACTTAATCTCTTTTGAAAGGTCAATTTCACAATGAGATCTAGATCTCAGTTCAGGGATCCTTATTTCTTGCTCTCTAGCAACTGGATATCTCTTTAGGTTAATTAAGTTTAATCAGATACCGAAGTCAGTGTAACTTTAAATGTGAAAGATTAAATTTTCTTAAATGTTAAATTGAAATCACTCAGGCCATTTAAACGTAACCCAAAACAAAAGCAAAGTGTAAAGTGAGATATCGATTTGATCAACATCTGCTTTCTTGCATCTCTCTTTCTCCTTGATGTGTTTCATCTTTCATCTTTTAATTCCCTGCCCCTGGATATTGGGGGCCTGCAGGGTTCTTTCTTTGGGTCTCCTCCTCTCATTCCACAAACTCTCCTTGGGACATCTCATCCATCGCCTTCAATAAGCAGATACATGATGAGATGAGTCTCAAATTTTATCTTTCCTTGCTCTCTTTCTATGGTTTCTGACAAGTAGCTGTCTCCGGTTATCAGCAGAACATCTCTACCTGGCTGTCCCAGAAAGTCAAGCAAAACACAGACCTAAAGAAATAGACACATAAATACAATTTACTCTTTCAAGGGACAGTCGTGCACATCATTTTAAAATACTTGTAAATCCACATGCACATGCATGAATTCATAGACATGTTATGCTTTATGGCTATTCACCATATAATAGATAGCCATGAAATTAAAGTATGCTTGCTCCCTGAAAGAAAAGCTATGACAAACCTACATAGCATAGAGTAAAGCAGAGACACCACTTTGCCAACAAAGGTCCATTTAGTTAAAGCTATGGTTTTTCCAGTGGTCACGTACAGATGTGAGAGTTGGGCCATAAAGAAGGCTGAGCACCAAAGAATTGATGCTTTTGAACTGTGGTGTTGGAGAAGATTCTTGAGAGTCCCTTGGACTGCAAGGAGATCCAACCAGTCCATCCTAAAGGAAATCAGTCCTGAATATTCATTGGAAGGACTGATGCTGAAGCCGAAACTCCAATACTTTGGCCATCTGATGCAAAGAGCTGACTCATTGGAAAAGACCCTGATGCTGGGAAAGATTGAGGGCAGGAGGAGAAGGGGACGGCAGAGGATGAGATGGTTGGATGGCATCACTGACTTGATGGACATGAGTTTGAACAAGCTCCAGGAGACTGAAGGACAGGGAAGCCTGGTGTACTGCAGTCCATGGAGTCACAGGAAGTCAGATAGGATTTAGCAACCGAACAACAAAAGGTGTTCTTTTGGAATTTTAAAGCTATAGAGTTCTATTACTCGCAGTTGCATAAACCACTGATTCTGGGGTAGAA